CCATTAAGGCAAGTGGCATGGACAGTTATAGCACAAGAATAGGACCCAAGATTAGGCCTCAGTGACTGCAATGTCAATTCTTCCAGTGACCAAACCCAAGTCTCTAAAGCTGGTGTTGGAGCCAGAGAAGAGCAATGTGCGGGGCATGGTCCAAGGCAGACCGGCACTGATTAGCACCCGGCTTCTTACCTTGTCTGCACATCTCCCTGGGAGAATTAAGTGCCTACAAAATAATTTGCATCTGGAAAATCTCCAAAGTGGATTTTATTCTCACCCAAATGTTACCCAGTATTTTAATTAACCTGGGCTTATTGTTCTAATTACTTGAGTTTTATTCGGTGAATTGCTGTTCAGGAGTGGAGACAATCAGTAAACACAATTACCGTGTATAATATTCCTAGCAAAGCTTTGCCCTTTAAATTTTATTTAAAAAATAATAATTAGTAACATAAATCTTTAATTTCTGGTTCACCAAGGCGGACAGACTGAAGAGGATAGAAACACAGAGCTCTCTTCAAATGTGAAGATTTCTTAGTAGTCAGCCCACCATGTAATACTTTAATGGGCTTTATTCACTCTGAGAAATATCCAGGAGAAAAGCTAAGATTGCAAGAGATGCTGTGATATATTACTGAGTGGGGAAAAAATAAGGCCTAACAAAATGTAGGCGACAGTAACATTTTTACATATGATTTTCTAGAAGCCACCATGTGAGTGCCTGTGTGTATCCAAATGTGTGCTCAAAATATATGGTAGACATATAACAATTAGACAAACTGCTTACCCTTGGAAAGCAGAATTGGAGGCAGGGAAGAGGGGAAAGAGAGAGTCTTCATTTCTATTTTGAATATGGCAATATTAGTGTCTGAGTTCTATTATGGAAGTGTGACTTTTAAATTAAGTGTTTCTGTAAATTCTAAAAACTACTAGTTCTTGAATAAACAGAGAGCACTGCATCCTGCAGAACCTTGCCTGGGGAGGCCTGTGTGCATGGAGGGAAAGCCTGCATGCAGGGAGGGGAGTCTTCTTGCAGGGTGGCTTCAACTACGCCAATCCCTAAGTTCCAAGCATTCTCTTATCTTCAACAGAAGCATCCTGAGGAAGCTGGACCCCTTGGCCTGACTCCCTTGGTTCTTCTCTTAGACTCAGTCCTGATGTCTTGTGACTTCTTCTTTCCTTCTCCATTTCTTCCCTTAGGAATTAACCTGTTTTTTTTTTTTAAATGACCTCCTTGACCCCACCCATTCCTGTTTTCCTTTTGGATTCCATTTTAGCCTCATGCTTGACTCGTCCACCTTGAGTTTTTTTTTATAACTACCTATTTGCCCTCTGGATCACACTATCACTGCATGCCCTCCCAAGCTCTCCTTCTTGGTTTCCAATCTGGTCTAGTGTTCAATGACACATTTTTTTTTAAAATGTAATGTGAATTCTAAACACAGGGCAATTGTTTATTGCCAGGGTCCATTAAAGAAACATCAAAGTAGAACTAGATAGAAGTAAGGACTGGATAGCAGGACAAATGCACCACGTGCTATGGAATTGTTCACTTTAAAGTGATTAATGTTTTTATATAAGTTCTAGTTTGATTTTTTTTTAAAGTAGACTCAGTGGTTAAGAGCAGTCTGCCCTTTATATGAAGGCTAAGAGCAGTCTGCCCTTTATATGAAGGCTATGTAATGATGAATTCAGAGTTTTTCAGTTATTTCTTCACTCAATACACTAATTCACTCTTTAATAAGATTTTATTTCCCTACTATGGGCAGGTTAGCAGGCACTGGGCATGACAAGGTGAACTAGATCATGTCCCTATATCCCTGGATGTCAAGGTCTCAAGGTATAGCAGGACTAAGTACCACAGAGGAGGCACAGGGTAACTGCCCAGCTGTGTCAGTTACTTCTGGCTCTGCTAAGACACCCTGCCAAGGGCAACTGAAAGAAGACAGGGCTTACCTTGACTCACAGTTCCAGCGAGGTAGAGTCCTCTGTGGTGGGAAGACATGTCTACAGCCAGGGAAAGCATGGCAGCAGGAACAGGAGGTAGGTTGATCACATCCACATTCAGGAATAAGAAAGGAAACAGGAAGTGGGACAAGCCTATAAACTCTCCAAGCCCATCCCCAATGGCATACTTCCTCCAACAAGAGTCTACCTCCAACCAGGTCTGTAACCACCCCAAACAGCCACCACCTGGAGACCAAGGATTTAAATATATGAGCCTATAGGGGACATTTCTCATCCAAACCACTCCACAAGCCAAGGACTCTTGCTTCATTTTGTACATAGTTAAAAGACACGGAAAGACACGTTCACATCTATGTTCCAGAACTCTCTCCCTGGGGCCTTCCAAAGATTAATAAATATGAAACTAAACACCAGATGGTCTGAAAAAAACTGAATTAGCTCATTGGCATATATTCTCCTAGAAAATCCAATGCAGCTACACTCTATTAATGGAAGGAGAATGAGTCTGATCCAACTTATGAATGGTCTACTCAGCACCAGCTCCAAGCTGGGTGGATATGTCCTTTGGCACACAACATTATTCAAACCATGGGGCGGGAGGGAGAAAACCCAGTGTGAGTATGTTGAGTCAAAAATTCATGCCATCAGAGAGCAGTAAAAGTGGAGTACAAGGCCAAGTCTTGTTTTTTTTTTTTTTAAATAACTTTTCAAGTTAACATACCATGTTTATCGCTGAACGTTCACAATAATTAAGTTGTGAGGCTGGCCTAGATATCTACCAACAGATGAATAATTAAGAAAATGTGCTACAGTAGAATTGTATTTGACCATAAAGAATAAAATCCTGACATTGGCAGAGACGTGGATGGAGCTTGGGTTCATTAGGTTAAGTGGAATGAGCCAGACCCAGAAAGTCCGCATCTTTTGATATCAAAACAAGTATCCCACCAGGATGGCTATACCTTGTGTGTTTCTTCATGGAGGCTCAATAGGTGTAGGCCAAATGACACTTCAGTGGTTGTAAGAGAGCAGCAGTGGACGCCATTCTTCATTACGGGGTCCTCTAGGGCAGGTGCTAGGTCGATGTCATTGACTCCTTTGTGGTCTGTCATGGATTCCTTCGTGAATGCAGCAGAAGGTTCTCTCAGATCACTGTCATTTAACCTCTCCCTCTCCCCCTGGGCTTGTTTGCCACAGTCCTCCAAACTCAGCCCTTGAACTCCACAACCACATTAGCTAGAGTCACTTAGTGCATGCCTTCCCAGCCTTTGTGGGCATCTTTAAAAAGTTCATTTCTTATTTTATCCATATATGTGATTTAAGCTAACTCAAAGCTCTTGGCATAGAAATGGGAATATATTTAATAAGAACAAAATGCTTCTCATTCTTTCCTGGCTCGTCTTTCCATCATTAATCTGAACAAACCTCGGTATAACTGGTAAGGTGGATAGGCTTGGTTCCTGCCTTCCGGGTTCTACTTGAGCTGTGCTCTTGGATGTGTTGTTTGCCCTTTGAATATTTTCCATGTGTGTTCCAGGTGTTGGTTTCAGCATACATTTTGTATCCTTTCAGTATTGGATGCCTTGTTCTTTGCATCAAGGATTGGATGGATTACATGGAATTGTTCTAACACATAAGGTATTATCCCCATTACACAGATGGGAAAACAAAAGGCTCAGAACATTTTCACTCATTGCTCAGAGTCCTGCAGAAAGCAAGGAGTGAGGCGAGGTTCGGACTGAGCTTTCTCTGATCTGGGGGCCTGTTTGCTTTTTGCGTTGCCTTAGGAGCCCCACATTCATGATCCCTTTATAGTCAGGCAAGCTCCTATGCCTCCTGCAACCTCCTTTCTCCCTACCTGCTCAGCTCCCCAATTAATTTTTTTTTAAGCACAAAAAGAAAAAGAAAGGCCTGGTCTAAGCTGTATTGACAGGACTAAACATCCTGACTGGCTATTTTTCTGACCTAAAGCAAGTGCTTCCAAGGTATAAAAATAGAATCTTTCTTTCCCATTTATCTTTGTTCTTGAGAATCACAGAGTAAAGAATATGCCAGAGCCCCTGACTTGTCTATCTTTGTTAAAAAAAAATGCATTTAAACCTTTTACACTGAGCTCTTCTGCTTTCTTACGAAGCCTGGTAATGAAAGCTAGATGTGAAAATCCTAACAAGAAATTCAAGTTACATAACAAACTCCTGCCCACCCAGGCTCTGTAGAAGGACAGACTTCAGAGGGAGCTGAAGACTCCTCTGTATGGCGATGGGCTTCTTCCTTGCGTCCTTTTCAGCTAGAGGCAGAATGGTGGCTTCTCACATTGGAATCTACATCTCAGAATGGCCATGTTCCTGGAAATACACATGCGCAGCCAAGAAGAGCCGTGTCCCCAGACAGTCCCAGGAGAATTGGGTCCATAGAGTTCTCTCTTCCTGGTGTGGGGTGCAAGGGAAGAAGGAGGAGGAGGAGGAGGAGGAGGAGGAGGGAGGGAGGGAGGGAGAGAGGGAGGGAGGAAGGAAATGGGCATTATTGTGTTATTAATAGTATTGCTAGGCCTGGAGAGATGACTCCATGGTTAAGGGCACTTGCTGTTCTTACAGAGCACAGGCATCTGGTTCCAAGCACCCACACTATGTGACTCATAACCACCTGTAACCCCAGCTCAGGGGAATCTGCTGCCCTCTTCTGGCCTCTGAGGTACTTACATGCATGTGAACACACAACAGACATATGCACATAAATAAAACTAAAACAACCCCGTTTTAAGAGAGTGGTGCTGCTAAGCGTTTTTCTCTGAGCGCTCTCTTCATTCCCCCAGTAGCCTTTTAGCGAGGCTCCAGTGAATAAACAAAGGACCTGCATGGCAGTGTGCTTGGTGCAGGGACCTGAGGTCAGTCCCTATCTTTCTAGCTCGAGACTCACACATGCATAATTATAAGTGAAACAAAGTCTTGGCATTTACCAAGGACCTTCCTGGAAAAAACAACTCCAGGAAGTGAGGGGTCACCACCCGGAACAGTTTTCCTAATCTTCCTCTTGCCTGAACTTGCCCATGTATACAACATATCCCAGCAGCCATCCCGCACAAAGGACTCTGGGCCTCAGTCATCTCTGCCATCATCATCACCTGTGGCTTCCTGGCTTAGCTGTTCCAGTCCAGATCAAGAAGAGTCTCTCCCCTTCTCCCTAGAACCATCCAGGAACCAACAGGAAAACTTCAAACAGCATTTGTAATAGGCAAGTACAAGGCACAAGATATGAGGACCGAGAGTCAATCAGCTTGCCAAAGAGGGATTTCTTCATGAATGTCACATAGCACCTTCCCCTCCAGGCATCTGTGTGTCTTAGTAACTGGAATGTTTTTTAGCTTTGCCTTTCGTGAAGAAAATACAGATGTTTGTAGATAATGAAAGTCCGCAGTCCTGTGATGGAAATAACATACACTTAGAAGAACTCCATTATATATATATATAAAATAAAGCACACAGTGGATTATGATACCGGGTGACAGAAAAGTTACCGTGCTTCATAATAAGAAACCCTGGAAGCCGTGGTGGTTCGGAGATCACTCTGAACAGGACTCTAGCAAGAACGACAGGCCTGGTCCCACTCGGTGCTGCCTTTCCTGCTTTAGTCCTTGTTTATCAATAATGGAAAATCCACACTCATTGTCACTAATTGTTTCTCACTGGTCCTTATGCATCTGGTTACTTCTTTATAACATGCCAAGAAGAGACAGCCCTCTCCACTTACTGCCTGTGATGGTTAACTTTAATTGTCAACTTGACACAACTCAGAATCGCCTGAAGAGAGACTCTCAGTGAAGCATTGTCTGCATTGGATAGGCCTGTGGACATGTCTATGGAGGATTGCCTCCATTTACTTAATCAATGTGGGATGACCCAGCCCAGTGTGGTCAGCACCATGCCCTGGTCAGTGGGTCCTGAATAAGAGTGGAGAAACTGAGCAAGCCAGCCGGTATGAATGCATACATTTCTCTCTGCCCTTGACTGTGGATGTGTTATGACTAGCTGACGTCCTGCCTTGACTTCCTCACGATGATAGAGTGTGATCTGGAAGAGTAAGATGAAATAAACTCCATTCTCCGCTGAGTTGCCCTTGGTTAGGGCATTTCATCACAGCAATGGAAATGAAACCAGGATACTGCCCTCATAGGATGACTGCGTAGTTGTAGTGCACCTGATCTTGCTGACTTTTAGGACATGGATGTCTCTGATGTCTGCCATGTTGGTTCCATAGGTTGTCTGTACTGTGCTTTGGGAACACAACAGCATATTATATTTGGTATAAAAAAATCACTTCCTAATTTGGAGTTCATGAGAACGCCATTAAGGAGAAATCTGGACATCATGAGACTTCTTGTGTCTCACCATTAAAAGTTGCACTAACACTTTAGGGTGCTGCCTTCTGAGGATGGCTACCATTCAAAGCTTGTTTATTATACACCAGGCACTGGTTTAATAGGTTGCATTTACTGCTCTCATTTGATTCAATGTTCACAAGATCTACAGCGTCAGTGTTATTAGTGCCACATTAACAATAAGGAGGCAGAATTGGAGAGGCTTCATGGCTCGGTCAAGGTCACATTGGTAATAAGTTACAGAGTTGGTATTCAAACCTAGGTCCTATGTGCTTGACAGCAATCAGAAAGACCACTGTGGAGCTTGCACTTTATTCTGAAGGCCAAGGGCACCCAAGGGATCCATCTACAGTAGATAAGTGAAGTGTTTCAACTTGGCAGCAGCATGGATAGTTGTGGGTGGAGGTGGGGCCAGTGGTATCCCAGGTGACACCATCCTGGTGAAGCCTCTGACAACGGAGGCAGTGAGAGAAAGGAGGTGTACTAGAGAAACGCAAAGAGTCTGGGACAATGGTACTGAGGGATAGGCAAAGAAAAAAGTCCAGGGTGGAAGCAGGAATTCTGATGTGGGTGTGTTGGTGGGTGGTGGAGCCACTACTTGCTGGAGTAAGAAACTTAAGAGGGAGATTGTTAGGAAGAAGAGAGGAGGCGAGCATCACTGGTCCAGCTGAAGTCCAAGTGTCTGGGGGGCATCAGTGAAGCACACAGAAGGAGGTGCCTATCCAGGCATCAAACTCAGGAGACAGATTTAGCAGAAGGCCTGGGGTGAGGGGACATAACTTCATCCACGAGACTCGAAACCAGAGAGAGAGAGGATTCTCCAACAGTAGAGAGTAAGAAGTGAGATAAAGGTGTAGCTGATGACAGGAAAGTGTCTTGTCCACGTCCAGATGAAAACTTTCCTGTTTTCTCTGAGCTCTCTGGGCTACCTGCCATACCACTCAGGGTGCTAATGGCTACTCCAAGCACAGAAAAAAGAAAATTATCTCTCCATTTCCCAAAACCCGTGTGTGTTCTGCTTCTAGCAAAGCCAACAAACAGGTAGTCAAGGAACCCACAGCTTCCTGCCTGCAAGAAAGGGCATGCCCAGAAAATGTGGCAGCCTGTCATTTCCCAGGACTGACTATTACCACTGGCAGCCACCCCCCCACACACGCTGTTTTAGGTAGGTTTCTATTGGTGTGATAAAACACTGGCCAAAAGCAACTTTATTTGGCTTACAAGTTATAAGTTACAGTCCATCATAGAGGGAAGCCAAGGCAGGAACCTACCGAAGGAACCAAAGGAGAGACCATGGAGTTACACTGCTTACTGGTGTGACTTAGCCAGCGTGGCTACCTTTCTTACACAGCCCTGGCCCACCTTCCTAAGGATGGTACCACCCACAGTGGGCTGGGCACGCCCATATCAATTTAACAATCAAGAAACTCCTCCCACAGACATGGCCACAGGGGGCTTTCTTCCCAGATGACTTCAGTTTGTGTCACATTGGCAGTGACGAGGACTAGCCAGTGTGCACACGCCAGCTCAGAATGTCAGGGTACACGTAAGATGTTAAGGACATTATCTTGGTGGTTCTCAACTTGTGGGTTGCGACCCCTTTGGGGGGGCAAATGATTCTTTCATAGGGGTCGCATATCAGATATCCTGCACATCAGGTATTTACATTACGATTCATAACCATAGCAAAATCACACTTAGGAAGGTTGAGGACCACTGCATTATCTAGTAGAAAGAATACAGTCTTTGGAATTAGAAATATGTGGATTCAAATTTCACACTGAATTTGGAGTCTCAAGCAAATGACTTCCATACTACAAGTGTCGATTTCACCACCTACAAATCGGCGTATCCATACCTAGAAATCCAGAAGCACAACTGAATGGCTCAGGTGAGATGGAAAGCAGTCAGAGTGGCCCCCTGCCTACATCTGGTCCTGCAGGAAGCACCATCTCTCCCCATTTCCTCTCCTTAGTCTGGGACAGAGTCAGAACTGAGCAAGCATTTGAATGATTTGGGCCACCCTTCTACAGATCAAACCCACAGGGGGGCTCCAGGGTAGGTCTGTGCTTTCTTTTTGGTTTTTTTTTTTTTGAGACAGGATTTCTCTGTGTAGCATTGAAGCCTGTCCCAGAACTCACTCTGTAGACCAAGCTGGCCTCGAACTCACCAAGACACCTGCCTCTGCCTCCCGAGTGCTATGATTAAAAGCATGTGCCACCACTGCTCGGCAGGTCTGTGCTTTCTTAAGTCGTCCTTTCTAACTGGAGGCTACAAATAAGGCTCTGTCATGCCCTGAGATAGCCCTAGTCACTGTCATTGGACCTGGTGACTAATGGCAGAACAAAATACAGCCTTCATATATATATATATAAGCACTAAGATAAGTTTTCCTCCCAGGCTCCAAGCAATCTCATGTACAACAAACATCATTGGAACCAGCAGGTGTGCGTTCCAAGAGAAAACGGTCTCTGGACTCTATTTGAGTAATTTGTTTCCTCTAGAAAAACATAAAAAGACAGAACAGCGCAGGATACAAGGAAAGGATCAAACCCAGGCGCAGTCAGTGTCCAGCTTCTTCAGAGGTATTTTTTACATAGGTTCTGAGCCTGAGGATCAAAGCGAGGCTGCTCCCTCAGATCAGCCCACAGTCCCTAACCTCTGTCCATGCTGGTGCACATTCCTCACCTAAGGAGGCAAGTCTGGTGCTCAGGGTGTCTCTGAAGATGAGGTTGTGCCTGCTCCAGTTTGAGGTGAATGATCAACTCAGATGCACACATCCTTAGAGAAACACACGTCCTAGAGGTTATCTAGTCTGAGTAGTCTAGTCTCTATCATGTAGATCACAGATCTGCCTTGGAGAAGAATCAGGAACCTTTCTGCAGTTTAGTAGGTGAATTGGGGTATAAACCTGGAGATACTGTTACTCAAGCTAAATGAGCTTCTGAGTGCCACCTGCTCCCCTCCAAGCTCAGTGTGGTCTCTTACACACAGACTGGGCATGAGACTGGGCATGCAAGATGGCTAAGCAGGTCAAACACTACCCCACAAGGCTGATGAGCCTAAATCTCTGGAACCCATATAAAGGTAAACAGAGAACAGACTCCCCAAAGTGTGTCTTCTGACCTCCAGATGTAGGGTCCATAAGCCCCCTCCATGCACATCATATACACACAATCATAATTAAAATAAAGCATTTTTAAAAGATTAACAGTTGTCATAGGTGCCTGAAGAGACATTCGAGTCACTCAAGTGCTTGTTACACAAGATAAGGATCTGAGTTCAAGCCCCAGAACCAACACTAAACCAAACACTCAGGTGTGATGTATGCTTATAACAGAGACAGACAGACTCCTGGGTCTCAGTGGCCAGTCAACTTAATCTACTTGGCAAGCTCCAGTCCAATGAAAGACTTTGTCTCAAAAATCAAGGTAGGGTTTACAAAGTGACTCACTAGATAATGGTGCTTGCTGAAAAGTCTAACTGGGTTCAATTCCCAGGACCCACATGGTGAAATGAGAGAACCAGCCAACTGTGGTGGTATTGTGTTGCCCAAAATATTGTGTACTCTAATAAATTTATCTGGGGTCAGAGAACAGACAGCCACTAAATACAAAGGCTAGAAAATGGTGGCACTCACACCTTTAATCCTAGCATTCCAGAGACAGAAATCCCTCTGGATCTCTGTGAGTTCATGGCCACACTGGAAACAGCCAGGCATGGTGACACACACCTTTAATCCCAGAAAGCCAGCCTTTAATCCCAGGGAGTGGTAGAAAGATATATAAGGCGTGAGGACCAGAAACTAGAAGTTTTTGGCTGGTTAAGCATTTGGCCTGGTTAAGCTTCAGGCTTTTAAGCAGTAGTTCAGCTGAGACCCATTCCGGATGAGGACTCAGAGGCCTCCAGTCTGAGTTGATAAGACCAGCTGAGGATCCGGCGAGGTGAGATAGCTGTGGCTTGTTCTGTCTCTCTGATCTACCAGCATGGACCCCAATAACTCGCCTCAGGTTTGATTTTATTAATAAGAACTTTTAAGAATCATGCTACAGCCAACTCTTGAAAGTTGTTCTCTTACTACCACGTGTGACATGGCATGAGTGTTTGCATGTATGTGCGCGCGCGCGCACACACACACACACACACACACGCACGCACACAAGCACACACGCACGCATGCACACGCACACACACACCCCTTTAAAGTTGTCCTCTTGTTTCTACATATGTGACATGGCATGAATGCTTGCACACACTTGCACACACACATACACACCTACAAGTACACACACTAAGAAAACAAACTCATATTTTAAAAACAACCTGAAGTTTCTATGGACAAGCATCTAACATTGGTATTACAGTAATAGAGAGTATCAATCAATATTCTGTGCCCTGACAGTATAGTACCATATGGTAATAATACTGTATTACTTAGTTTTGAAGCCACTTTGGTAAAAACATCGTCATGCTTGATTGACTTCATGAAGTAAGGAAGAGAGATGATCGATTCATAGGTACAAAATATCTTCAGAGGTGAGAGATTTTCTGCCCAATCTTTAATGCCTTCATGTGCCACACACCATGTTCAATAAGGTCATTGTCAGGAATGAAATGGTCTGTAAGACTTGGTGTGGTGAAGAACAGATATAGGAATACACAGCCCCATGAAATGACATCTGTCACCACAGAAGTCTGCACCATAGTTTGAGGGATGGACATGGGGGATGTGTTTTGGTTTTTGGTGGACGTAATGCTGCCACCCTTTGGGATAAGTACCACAGGTGAAGAGGGCACATTCGGGGACTAGAGGTTGAAGGAATCTGCTGGGGGGGACGGGTAGTGACAACAGAGGTGCAGGGGGAAGACGGTAAATTCAGTTTGGGAACACAGGTGCCACGGGACTCTGTGGGGTGAATCACACACCTCTCTCTAGCAGGACTCCCTTCAGCGGATACATCGGTCCCCACACATCACTGCTGCTCAGTTATTTGTGTGCAGCCTTTCAGATATGGACTCCAATTTGGAGTCCACTTATGTCTTCTTTTTTGCCTTTCAAGGAATTTCCCTTTTTCTTCCTTTACCCTCATTTTTTATGGGTTTCATGGCAACAAGAGAGTCCATTACATCAAACCAAGAGTTTCAGAAGCCAATGTCAGTAATGTCGGGACAAGTGGCTCTTATGCCCACACACTCAAGGGGGTGTTGCTGAAGGTCACCTGGAGGAGCAACCAGGCCACATCTCAGACACTGAGAGGGGCACACGGGAACAAACTGAGGACACAGAAGGAGCCTGCACATGTCTCACATTACTTCTTAACACAGTGACTCTGACCCAGGGCCTGGGACTGACCTTTGCTCGGGCAGGATCCCATGGCTTCCCGGTTCCTTACACCCAGGAGCTTCAGCGTTAGTAAAGGAGAGTGAAGAGGAGAGAATGAGGAAGGAGGAGGAGGGAAAGATGAGGTAGGGGTGGAAGAAAGAACTGAGAGAAAACCCAAGATGATGTAACAGCATCAGGACCCTCTGAGGATGGGAGAAGGCAGTCCAATCCAACAGAATGAACTAATTCTAATCCATGGTTGCAGTGTGATGACAATTTACCAGCCCCAAATCAAGCTTTTCAATTTGTAGCTCATGGATCCTTCAGTGTTGGACTCCTACCTGGCCCAGTTCCATCCATGTCAGCTTCATTAGAGAGACAGATAGCTGTCACAGGAAGGATCATGCAGTTCAATAATGCTACCTGCGCAATCTTTTTCCGACTAAAAATCATCTTTATCTACTTTATGAAAGTGAGTCATAATGTTGATACGTAGGTGGTACGCCTTTTCCAGAAATAAACCAACTCAATCCATTTTTTGGGGTGTCATCTAGGTTAAATTCATTTACTGAAATAAAATTGTTCCTTTGATTTCTTCTACCCTCCTACCTTGTTTTCCCCTTTTCTCACTCTTCATTCATTATTCATTCATTCATTCAACAGCACAGAGTTTCTGAATGAGCGTACCAGCCAGTGGGCCACCTAGACCTGGAGCTTGATTTCTGACTGAGCTGGCTACTGGAAATTCCAGGAGTTGTTTAAACAAGATGGCCCAGGGGATTAAGAATCCAAAAGGAAGGGACATCCAAGTTCAAGTCCAGATAAGCTGATTGAGGTGAGAGTCCGCTTAGAAGAGTGTGAAAAGCAAGTAGCAGGAAGTACCACAAACCCCAGTACCATAGATCCTGGGCCTTGAACTTCAGGGAAAGTCTGCTTCCCTTTAGAGATGGGGCTTGGGAAGCAGCGTAGGGGGAAGAGAAAACAGGTAGATGCAGTAGCTTAGAGGGGTCCTCTGTGGTTATTAAGATCTAAGTAAACATTTCAGTGTAAGAGCACACACATTTGGAGCTTTCTTAAATAATAAGCTGAAGGCCAGTGAGTCATTTTCCTTAATTAGCTTAGTTCTCTATCCCGGGTGAGAAATCCCTCTTATTCAAGCAAAGCTGTTTATTTAAATAAGATTCCTTGTCTTTGGGGCCTTTTTAGCATTTTAAGGGATGAGTGTGGCAGCCTTGTTTACCTAGCTGAGTTTCACTTAATCATCTTGGCACCCAACTAATCGTTATCGCTTCTTCATTAAGGACTTTCGTGTAGACTCTTCCTTCCTAATCCTTCACCTATGATCCGCCCCCCTTCCATCCCTTCCTTGCCCATGGTCACTGCTGTGCCCCGGTCCATCGCCACTGAAGCAGCTCAGGCTGCTATTGTCTGTTTCCTCTTTTTCACCTGTTGCAATCCATTCTACTCCCTGCTTTAATTTTCTAAAAGCTTCCTGTTAATTCTATTCCTCCAGCTAAATTTCCCACAAGTGAGACAAAGCATAAAGTAAACACAGTCTCACTGTCAATATAACTGAACATATCATTCCGTAGGTGCGCACATGCTCACACCCTGCCAATCTGGCCTTGAACGCTTTGTGCTTTATTGTGGTCACTCTCCTTTATGCCTAGAAAATATTCACTCTTGAGATCTAGTCTCTTGCCTGAGCTGCTGAGCACATGCCTTTGGGCTCTTTAATGGAGTCCACAAGGCTAATATCTTTGCAGTTATTTCCACTTCCTCTGCTGGAAGGCATTCTGATATAGACCTCTTAGGTCAGTGAGAGGGGGAAACCCAGAAGCAGATGGCCTTGGAAAGATTTCTGCTTGAGGAGCAGATGCTGGTGAGATGGTTCAATGGTTAAAAGTGCTTGTTATCCAAGTACGATGATCTGAGTTTAAATCCCCAACCCATGTAATATTATGACCACATGCATGCATGTAACTCCAACACTGTCAGAAGGGAGGCAGAGACAGGACAATCACTGGGACTTGGTGACTGTCAGCCTAACTCTAGACTGGGCAAGAGACTCTATCTCGAGGGAATATGGTAAAGACTGATAGAGTAAGATACTCAGTGTCCTCCTCTGGCTTCCATGCGTGTGCACAGATGCTTCCCCACCCCCACCCCCAAAATAAATAAACAAATACAATGAAATAATTTTTAAAAAGCATCTATGATTCTCTTTAGCCCTTAATTTCCTCATTTATAAACTGGACCACTCATATTGGACCAGCTGATCCCTAAGGGGCTCTGGTTTCACATGGCAAAGCCCACTATTACAAAGTCCTCTATTACAATCAATCCATGTGAGTCTATTAAATGGGTAACAGAATTTATTGAGATATAAACTGAGGAAATACACTCATGATTACAGAATAGAGTAGACAGCAGAAGCCGTCCTCTGATCTGACCGGGAGCGAATCCACCTCGCAGGCAGGAGCAGGGAGGAGGGGCATGTGGCCCTTCTCCACCTTCCTATAAGAGGTCATATACAACGACAGGAAGCACAGCCTCCTTTGGGCCATATAAACCAAGGTCATGAGCGGAGCAAATACCACTACAGTCCTCTACCTGTTCTTCCCTAAGTGACTTCCTTGATGAGGATGATCACACCCTGGTATAAAGAACTTGGGTGACTGGACTCTGTTCAAAAACATCCAGAACTAAGTTTGTATTAGAAATACAGTCTACGTAAGACTCCTGTTCTCATATCTACTTCTGAAGATAATGAAGCCAACTAGAAAGCCGGGCTCAGATACCTCTGCCCAACCAATAAAAATGCTAGCATCCTATATGGGTCTCACACTTCCTTAGAACCTGAGGGTTATGTCAGGGAGCAGGAGTATGCATGCAGGGTCACATGCAGACACCTCAACCTATGCATCAGCTGTGAGGGGAAGGGCAAGGCTAGGTCCACAGGATGTTTGTGCAATGCTTATGTTTTCAGAATAGTCCACGTGTACCATCACACTTGACCCCTACAAGAGCCCCATGAGGAAAGTGTCAACAAACATCAGGAAGGTCTTCCATATGACTATTATAGGAGTTTGGGATACACCAGGGCACAGGCTGGTCCCTTCCTACTAGGAGTTTGGGATACACCAGGGCACAGGCTGGTCCCTTCCTACGTCGAGCTAGGACCCTACAAGAGTAGAGTCTATTGTGTTGGGATGCAGAGGAGAATCCTCAAAGGGGAAGCTCCCAACCAGGGCACAGTTACAAGAGAAACAATGCTAGCAAAGCCGAGTAGTTGATCACAACAGCCCCCATTTACTACTCAACAAATACGTACCAAGTGCTTACTCAATTCCAAAGCTCTGTGTTCAGTGGTTTCCATGTGTTACCGTATTTAATCTTGATGCTAACCCTGCAAGGCAGGTATTATTATCTCCATCTTTCAAATGAGGAAATTACGACTCGGAGTTCTCGTAACTTTCACAAGTTCCCCCTGCCAGCTGGTGATGGAACAGCGAAGAGTGTGACTCATCCTGTTGGTTAGAGGTAAGGGAGAGCGTGAAAGAGGAGGCTGTTGAGCAGAGTCTCAGATACTAAGCAGACATTCGCCAAACTGGGAGAGAATGAAGTTCTCATCTGGACTGGTTCAGTGCCATGACATTGTGAAACTGTGGACTTCTGCTGGGAAAGCTAGAGACTTACACAGCTGGACAGGAGGCCTGTAGGGTGAGAAGTGGCAGGAGAGGCTCTGGGGGCAGAAGGGTCTTCCCAACTAGATGTGCTCAGAGCGTCTTGTTTTTGTTTGTTTTTGCTTTTTTTGTTTTTTTTGTTTTTTTTTTTTTTTGTTTTGTTTTTCAGATAGAAAGGAGATGACCTGTACATAGCAGGCTGGGACAAGTGGGCAAGGCTGAAGCTTGAGCTTGCTTCCTCAAACCTGTGACAATCAATGTCTGTGCTCCTCACAACTCATTGTGAGTGGGTTTTGTGGGGTTTTGGTTTTGGTTTTTCCAGACATGGTTTCTCTGTGTAACAGCCCTGGCTGTCCTGGAACTCACTCTGTAGACCAGGGTGGCCTCGAACTCACAGAGATCCGCCTGCCTCTGACCCCAGGTCTGGGATCAAAGGCGTGCCCCACCACATCCAGTTTCATTGTGTGTCTTAACACACAGTTCTGCAGTAACCCATGAGGATCCACTGGGAGCTTTCAAGCAGAGTGAGACTATCATCTGAAGGGCTGAGTGGGAAGTGGGTGGGAGGGGAAGAAACCAAGAGAAGAGCTACAAGAACAGGCCCAGGCTCAGGGAGCACTGCCTGGGAGCACAGCACACACGTGGGCTGGGGAGGGATTTAGCACTGAGAGCTGGGGGTGACGGTTGGAGTGTGGTGAGGGTGAGGGCTTAGCTAAGGAATGCTTCAAGATTTCTGAAGAAAAGTGAGACTTAGAATTCATTACCAAAATATTCCAGTTTTTTAAATGTGGAAATTCCAGTTCCACATTTAAAAAGAGACAGTGCCAATAGTTCACAAGCCAGAGTGGACACTTCACATCTCTCAATCCCATCAATGAATAGATTTGAGGACGGAAAAACAGTCCAAAAAAATAAACAAATAAACGGATTAAAACCACTCTGCTTGGGAAGTTTGCATGCAGGAAGCTAATAGACACCGTCTACTTACTGTGACCTGATATCTGACGCCCTGCACATGTCAGAATTCTGTTGTCACCCACTGCTGAAGGTGCACCCCTCCTACAGAGCAAAGCCCTAAAATGTTACTGAAGGAGACAGGAGAGGCAGACGTGTTTTCACTAATAGAATTCTATCTCTCCTTTATTGTTTCTTCCTGCAGGGGAAAAAGATGTGGTAAAATTGGCCTGTCATTGTTTTTCGCTTAAAAAAAAAAAGAAAAAGAAATAGAAACATTTAAATACCACAAAACTCCCTATTGTCAAATGACTGAACACCCACGGCATAGCTCAGCTGACAGCCACGTAACCAGTTCGGAACTTTAAGCTATGCGAGGAATAACCATTTAGCTATCAGAAACAGGACGGCAGGGCAACTTTGGCCCATGATGGTGGCTGAAGCAATGGCCAATGAGAGAGTGAAACCTCTGCTCCTCAGACCCTTTTGCACAAGGAGACGTCACTTGTCAAAGCAGCCCACATTTCTAAGAGTTAATGGTTTGCTCGTCTGTTGAGTACCACACGCCAGATCTTCATTTTCCCTCAGCATGGCCACTGGCTAACCCTAAAATATCAACCTACCCTCTCCTCCATGCCTGTGTGGATATTACAGAACAAATTAGGAATGCAAAAGGCTCGGGGTCCTCACTATGAGTCCCTGCTATCATTTTGGGCTAAAATATTCAGGATTTTATGAAACATATAGAGTTTGACCCAACATGAAACAGCACCTATTTTTAGTGCTTTTTATCTTTGTGTGTGCTTTACGTGTGTATATGTGAGTGTGTGGTTGTTTTGTGTTTCCTTTTTCGGTCAGGGTTGGGCCACACACTCAGACTCTCCCGTCCTCTTGAATCTTAAGCCTATCTTTTACTTTCCAAAATATTTTTCATTTCTCTCCTACAGAGGTTCTAAAGAAAAAACAACCCCCCCCCAAAAAAAATCAAAAAAACAAATAACTAGGATTGTTACATAAATAATCAGCAGGCACCAAGAAAAGCAGAGACTTCCTTATCCATAGCCATCATATGGAGGCTTTAGTACCTGGAAGGCTGTACTGTGTGAGGCAAGAGCTGGGTGGATTTGACGTCAGCCAAGCCTGGTCTGACTGTAATAAATCACTTCATATCTCTCAGTCTTGGAATTCTCCATAATATAATAGAAATAGTGGCATCTGTTTCGTTATAGTTACTGAGGGGATTAAATATGTGCAGAGATCCAAATACCATATCTGTCACATTACTATCCTCTTAAGTTAAATTATTATAATTATTATTAATTATTATAGATTTTGTGACATACATGTCAACTGCTAAATGATAGTTTTCCTTCCCTTCCCACACTACCTCTAAACTCGAAAAAGTAGGCCAAAGGACATTCAAACCATAGTGAAGTGTGGAGTGTGGCTGTGGTTTAAAAATGCACATCCCTTTATGGTGATCAACGTCCAACCAGGATCAAGGGCACTAGATCAGATGATCTAGCCAATATTTCAATCAATAGTCGGTAAGGTCATTGGAGACAGAGCAAGCAGAAAGGACCCTTGAAAAGGTCCTGCTTGGAGGTCATTCTCACCCAAACGCCTTGTCTTTATTGGTGAAAGTTTGAACCAGGTTGGATGTTATGATTTGAATCTGAAATGCTCCCCCAAAGGCTCATATTTAAATACTTGCCCCCCTACCTGCCCGGCTAATAGTGCCATTCTAGAAATTTAGGGAGGTGAGTCCTACAGGCAGAAGGAAGCTCCTCGAAGCAGGCCTTTGAAGGTTATACCCATCTCTGGTTCTTGCTTTCTAGACACTGTGATGTGAAGAGCCTTATAGCTAGACTCTCTCACTGTCAAGATCTGAGCTGCCCCACCATGGCATCCCTGCCATGATGGACTGAACCCCTCTTCAACTCTCACAAGCCAAATGAATCTTTCCTCCCCAGAGTTGCTTCTGACAGGCATTCTGTCACAGTGACACAAAAGCAACTAACCTTGGCCTTCAATTAGTGTGTGTGTGTACATGAGTATGCACGTCCACATGTGTGTGCAGATACATGTGCATTAACAGTAAAATGTTATTGTGATCATTCTTTGGTCACAGGGTATCTACTATACCACTCATCACTAGGTTTGCATTTAAAGGGGATTGAGACAGGTGAAGGTCTTGGTAGACACTGATAATGAAAGCAGGCTCAGGAATTACAAGCCAAGAAGGAACATTCTAGAACACACGAAGGTCAGGGTGAGTACATCATCCACATCAAGATGACTTCTGCGGTCACTTCTGCTGGTTGGTACTGGATTTTACTACAGTACTGGCTGGGGAGGATGGTCAGGTTGGCCAAAAAGGTCAGAGGGGTCAAGACATAAAATACCAGTATTGTCACTTTACAAGGACAGTTCTTGTAACATGCCTCCACACACACTGCTGGGCTTGGATTTTGTTTGACCCCAAATTGAAAGAACTTTATGAAATAGCCTATTGATGACCATCCTTCATGTTCAAAGTTAGTTTCTGTATGGCTGTGGGCAGAGTAGGTGTGCTCTCTGTTCTCTGGTTATGTTTACTCTGTATTTTTCATATCTGATGCAAACAAAGTATGAGCACCTTCATCATGTTCTTTATAAAACAGCATGATGTCCTGGTGACATTGTGTCTCTCCATCATTTGTCTGACGACTCCTCTATTGTTCAGCATGGGACACTTTAATTTTTTTTTCTATGAAGAGCCTTCCTGTGAATATCTTCATAGTTCCATCGTGATTTGGGGGTTTGTGTCCTTGGAGAAACTTCTAGAGAGTGGAATTGCCAGTTCAGAGGCTAGGAGCTTTTTTCATAGCTCCTGTGACTCACCAAGCTGTGAGCTCGGCTTTATCACTCCAAGATTTTCCAGAAAACTGTTGTGAGTCTACTGTTGCGTGTTAGTGCTGGAGGTTGTGGAGAGACACGGAATGAGTAAGTGTAGGTATGTGTGCACTAAGGAAGTGTTGAGGAGAAAGCAACCCTGAGGTAGGGAAGGGATAGGCAGGGGTGAGACGGAAGGAGGAGGGAAAGTAGGGGTGGGGGAGATATGAGAGAAGAGACAAAGGAGCCTAGGATGAAAGACCATGGTTTGTAGACGTGAGTTCCTACTTCGTGACCACATGGTGGCTCTCCGTGTGTAATACCGTCTGAATGTTGAGAGGGAAAGTATTTTATGTGGCTCTCTCTGACACCCTGGGAGTCCGCCCTAGACCTCTTCCTAACCAATAGGCTGCTGCCGTCTGAGCTTTGCTCTGATTGGCACCTCTCCAGAGCTGAAAGAGGAGCACCCCCACAGCCACAGCAGAGCCTCGGAGCCCCATGTCTGTCCTCAGTCAGTTCTGCCATCCCTTCCCCGCTCCCCCCAGGGGTTTCTGAAGAACTGAGTTGCACTGACACATACTTTGTCACTTTTCATTCTTGGCTCCCAGAATTCTGCCTCTCTAGTCATTACCAACACATTTGAGTCTGGAGTGGGTTGGAATCTAAGCTGTGCCACCTACATGGCACACTCTGTGTGGCCCTTGGCAACTAACTTGCCTCTCTGGGCTTCATTTCTTTTCCCTGAAAAATGAGGCAAAATGCTGTACTTGCTCTAGCACTGGCTCTGGGGTGATTACAGCCAGTGTGGTCTACGCTGTGCCTAAGTCAACAATAGAGAGGACGAAACTTGAATAATGAAACATCTCTTATGTCTTCTTCTGTTGACATGGATAATATTACCCATGGAGGGAGCGCTTTCGAGGCCCTCTTAGAGATGCATATAACAGTTCTGGGTTGATACCTGGTTGCTCCCGTGACCTTCGTCCCCTCCTCTTCCATTCTTCCATTTGGATAATCACACTGGTCTATCCCACTGTAGACAGAGATACTAAATCTCTCCCTCAAGGCCTCTCCTTGGGGTGGACAAGGGAATAAACTAGATGTAGCGAACCCCAAGGCAATGGTTTGGCCAAGCCTTTTGTAAATCAAGGAGAGTAAACAAACCATTGGTGGCTGACACACAGGAAAGCCCCAGTGACCAGGGAAAGCAGTCTGAATGCAGCTTTTGATGAATCAACCTGGCCTTACATCTCAGAGCCCCAGCAGAGGGTCTGTCGGCAAGACAGATTCAGGACTGGTGAGCTGGTACTCCCCAAAGTAGAGGTGAGAGCCAGGGCAAGATTTTCATGATTAGAAATAATATGGGGACAGTCAAGGAGCTGTGAATAAAATGCCTAACTGTACCTGGGGTTTTATATTTCATTAAATCTTATTTTAACTGCATGCCTTTTCATCATGAGTGGGTGGTTACTGCTGGAGAGGGTTATTATGCTTAACTATTTTAACAAGAGCTTTGTTATGTATAGGGGAGAGCAAATTGGCTAGGAAAGTGTGCAAGGCTCCATTTCTCTACTAACTTTATGGTCACAACCAAGCTTGCAAGAAAGACTCAAGTATGCAAGTCTAAGCATAGAATAAAGTGTTAGGCAATGGGTACTAAGAGAGCAAAACATATTAATTATTGCTCAGAAACTACATCAACAAGACACCTAGAAGAAACCAAAAATCAACTCACTTAACCCTCAGCGTGGGTTTCTCATTTGTCTGTTTCTCATCCTGGTTGAAAGTGTGTCCAGTTTGGGCAGAAGTCACCCAACTCTCCACGAGTTGGTAGGATAAAACGAAAGTGAATGGAAAACATCAGTAGACAGTAGATAGTTCTTACATCAATCAAGAGAGACGCCCTCCCCCAGACCCTCCCAACAAGCTGTCCTCATGTCTAGTAGAATAGTCTCAGTTACAATTACTGATTAGTAGTTCATGTTGTACTTCCCTGTTTTTCTTACCCTAGACCCCCACTAAGGCAGAGACATCATCTGAGCAGATGTGTTTCCAGCGCCAAAGATGGTGCCTGATCCTTCAGACGTTCAATACACATCCACTCCCACCATCACGTTTAGCAAATTACAACCAATGTATTTAAGACCACGTACTGTAGACCAGGCTACTTGGGCTCTATCCCAGTCACTGATAACACATTACTTACCTTGCCTATGCCTCAGTTTCCTCCAGTACAGATGAGCTATAATGATGGTTCTGAGAGTTATAATAGTAACAGATTCATAGTTAGTGTTCAAACGGTGTCAGCCTCACCATCACCATCATCAAAATCACCACCATCATCGGAGCAAGTTGCTATACTCTACCTCAGTTTCCTCTTCTAAATTTGGTTCCTTGCTCATTAAGATTGTATTTGGCCTTGACATCCTTGGATCTCTGTTCTTATTCACTCTGTACATTGGTTACAGAGACTTCTAAGTCCCAAGTAGTTTTCTCTGCCATTTTGTGCATATGTAAGCATATGTGAGCGCGTGTGTGTGTGTGTGTGTGTGTGTGTGTGTGTGTGTGTGTGTGTGTGTGTGTGTGTGTGTGCAAGAGGGAAAGAGTTACAATTAGTTAGAAGAAAATATAACTAGAAAATTAAGTTCTATGCAGACACATCATATAATGTGCTTCCGAGAAGATGTCTTCACCTGCCTTGCTGTTCGAGGTTAGCCACCTGGGAGCTTTCAGCCATTAATGTACCTGGCAAAGAGTTAAAGGAAACATCTGATAATAAAGCGGCCAACTCTGCTTAGCTCCTTGTCTCGGAGCCTGCTGTCCTTTGTGGATGGGTGAGCAGAATAGTGCAAAATAAGAAATTGGGGAAAGTAACGGAAGTTAGAGTGAGGTGTCAGAGAAAGGCAGCCATAAAACCACTGAAAATTCAGAATGGGGAAAAAGATGTGAAGCCAGGGAACGCAATTACTCTGGTCAATGGTGTTCACTGAACACAGCCTTTCAGGTAAGAAGTGAGGGTCGCACAAAGACTGTACCCACAAAGACTGTGGGTGTATTTATAGAACCTACTAGAAACTGACCACATCGATTCTTTTAGGAAGGAAACATGCATGGCTACAGATGTGGAGAGGCATTATTACCACAGAAGCTCCCTTTGTCTTTCAGAACTATGTGGATATAGTACTCATTTCAAATGGAGTGTGTGTGTGTGTGTGTGTGTGTGTGTGTGTGTGTGTGTGTGTTGCTGGAGATTGAACCCAGGTCCTTACACATGCTAGGGAAATACAATCAGTGAGCTATACCCCAACATTTCAAAGGGGATTTTTAAAAAAACAGTCATCTAAGAGTGTACACAGGGATCAGACCTGCATTTGGTCCTGCTTTTATCAGTGCCAAGCTGTATGGTTTATAGAAAGCCCCTCAACTTTCTAGGCCTCGTCCACTGAAGCAAAGGGAAAGAACTTGGTCTTCTATGCAGCTCCAGTCCTCAGCTTCGAGGACTGGAGTGCCCCAGCCATGTAGCTTCTGACCCTGGGCAGACTGCAGCAAAGTCTTTTCGCAGACATGGATCCTGTGCTCTTCCTTCTGGGAGTCATAGGCCCCCATGAGTGATTGATAGGATAAAAAAAATCACCTGGGGAGTATGAGGAGAGTGTGCCAAGAGGTTAGGCACACACAGTGAGGATGACAAAATCCGATAAAAGCTTCAAAGGGTGGAGCCACAATCACAGTGTCAGGCCATGGGCGGGGGCAGGGGTTGTTAAATGAGTATACAGATGATGAGCTATGGCCACAGAGAAGTCTTTCTCAGTCTCCTCACACCAGTGAAAGAAACTCCATTGCAACTGCTGGACATTTGCTCTGGTCCTGTGGCACTACAGGCACCTCCAGGAACCCAGGATTCCCAAGGTCACTCGCAACACAGGATAGAGCAGTGTAAGAGAGCAGTGCAAAACAGCAGTGCAAGACAGCAGTGCAAGACAGCAGTGCAAGACAGCAGTG